GTAGTGGGGAGAGGCACGGAGAGGGAGGAGGTTTCAGTGGGGGGGGGGCACGTGGAATATGGTGAAGGTGTGTGTCTAGGGGGCCAGCCACACACTCCTAAATTATGCTTTCTGTCTGTCACGTGTGATACGTGCCATCTAGAATGAGCGTGGGTTGATTCGTTTTTCTTCTTGAGTATTGTATTTTTGACCACTTGTATTTGTGGCTCATACATTCCTTGAGGCAGAATATTGTTACTCTGGCATGTTTAACATTATATGGTGAAGGTGTGTGTCTAGGGGGCCAGCCACACACTCCTAAATTATGCTTTCTGTCTGTCACGTGTGATACGTGCCATCTAGAATGAGCGTGGGTTGATTCGTTTTTCTTCTTGAGTATTGTATTTTTGACCACTTGTATTTGTGGCTCATACATTCCTTGAGGCAGAATATTGTTACTCTGGCATGTTTAACATTTAGTATAGCTCCATACACATCTGATTTGTCTATACAAATGACTGATAGTGTGTAGTTCTTTTTTTTTTAACCTTTCATAACAGATACATGGGAGATTTATCTAGTAATGGCTTCTTTGTTCTCTGAGCTTCAGTACACTTGACGTTGCCAAATTTATTATTTATGTTTATTAAAGGTCAGTGAGATAGAAGCGTCCTGCTTCAGCTTTCAAATCTGGAAAAAGCTAGTTTTAAGGAAATGAATACATGATATGTATCTTGGCCTATAATTACTTACATTTGGAAAATATAAGATCCTTTTTTAGTATGATTTTTTAAAATGTTGCCGCTAACAATATATTTCTTTTGTCTCTATGACTAAACATAGGTTAATAACCTATCTAGTTCCCTTACTAGAGTCACTCCCTTGCAAATCAAACAAGCCAAATTGATTAAAAGTTCTAATCTAACATTTCTGCTTGAGTGATGGGGATAGGCACCTATTGGGATTTCCAAACTTCCTTAAATGCATTAGACTTGAAATAGTAGCGTATGCATACATTTTAAAATATACATGGTTGATGTGTATGTATAAAGTATGCATTATGGCAGTAAATAATATAATACATTGAGTGACAAGTGCTTACATGCAAGGAGACAATGTTAAGTTATGTTAAATGGACATGGTTTACTTTCTAGTTTTATCTCCATTCACCAAAGTGGATTAAATAAACAAAGATACTCCCGATAATCTCAGGAGGGGTCTTTAATATTGACCACTTTTCTGTGTCAAATAATAAACTGATTGGTCTTTTGGTTGTGTCGTCTTATGATTGGTATGGAAATTTAACTATTACTGAAAGAAGTGCATGGCAGTTAAGCATATACATTTTTGCCTATAGTTTTTAATACTTTCAAAATGTTATTTTGAAGGTGAGACAAATCCGCTACTTGCATAAAACAGCTGTGCGCAGTGGAGGAGGAGGAGCTTTGTTTGTGGTAAGAATTTTTCTAGATACTGAACATATGGATGAATAAATAATTTGATGTTGAGGGTTGGATGAAGTATGGCTTTTATTCACAGATGAACTTTTGATTTACAAGATACACTCTTAGAAACTTACAAGGTACATCTTAGAAGCATACAAGGACATTTATTTTTCGTTAGAACTCTGTTTTTGAAGGGTGAAAATCTCCCTCCCCCTATTACTATCCCCTTCCTGATCTTAAATAAGAGGCCAGGACTTTTTAAATCTTTAAGTGAGGTTGCTTAATACTTGATAATTCATTAAGTTACTGTCATGGCTGAATTCCCCAACCTGGCACTTCAGTGTGTAGGTAATGGGGGCTGGCTAGCAAAATAAAACCTCTATAAGATCCTGATGTTGCTGCAATTCCCGGAGACAAAACAAAAAAAAATTCTGGTCAGTTTTCCCCGGAAATTTTTTGGGTATTGCTGTCACCAAGTGTCCAAATCTTTTTCCAGGGAAGAAATCACTTAGAATCTCTTCCCTGAGGTCAAACTCCTCCAACCTCCTTTCCCCAAGGAGTTGGAAAACAAACAAGCACACTCTTGCAGAGAACAATGAACCTGTGCTCTCTCTCTGGTAAGAGTTTGCAGCCAGGCACTTAAGTTTAAGGACACACAAGATCAACCGATACTGGTTAACAGAACAAAAAAAACCACTTTTATTATTAAAATAAGATTATTGTTGCAAGCATAGTAAATGACTTAGTGTTAAAAAGCCATGAATGAGAATAAACTGAGGGATTTTCCCTGGGCTATAAGGGAAGGTTACTCACCTGTTCAGTAACTAGAGATCTTCGAGATGGTTGTCCCTGTAGGTGCTCCACCTTAGGTGCATCTGTGTTGCTGAGCCCCGATCGGAGATTTGTGATAGCAGTGCCTCTAGCTAGCAGCCCACGGGGAGTGCTGGCACGAGAGATTTGAGTAGCTACTCCGCATGCACAGTCGACCATCCTCAGTTTCTTCTCAACCACCACTGGCTTTGGTCACATCTCAGTAGTCGCCCTCTTTACCTCACTCTTAAACTACTTCTGTAGCTAGACAATGGTTACCACACCAAAACCTTGCCTTTCTGGGACATGCCAGGCTTACTTGGTTTTAAAAGGTGCACAGGTTGCAAACTGTCCATATCCATCTCTGATGGATATGACCTGTGCGTCCGCTGTCTGGGTGAGGAGCACCCTTGTCAGCCGACGGTCAGGGCAGTGAGTCCCTTATGACCGGCTGAAGTTCTTTTAAATTGTGCTTGGTTCTGTTACAGCAACTGAAGGAGTCAGGTTAAAGCTTAAACAGTTACTATTTATTGTTACAGGGTAAACTTAGTTGTTAAATGCTACTACTGTGTTACAGATAACACAAACACTACAAAGGACAGGACAGAAATTACACTAATAAGTCACTTACAGGTACCATGAAACCCTTTGGTTCTCTGAGCTCTTATTAAATGCATGCAAAATAGACACCTAGCAGGTATATATTCTCTCCCCTGTGTTCCAGACTTGGCGTGGCCAGAGTCTTTCTCTCAATCCCTCGGGAAGAAGTAGGGCGAGGTTGGGCGTCCCACAGACCTCGGGAGACAATCAATACCTGCCAGCAGGTATAGATGATTGGAGCTCAAATGGGGTGGGCGGCTGAACCTCTTTTATACCCCTTGGGTCATGTAGGCTTCTTCCTGGTTTTAAGTGGCCAATTAGGAAAAATGGCTTTGAACACCAAGTTTCCCACGAAGGGTGCAAAGCATAATTTGCACCTGGGAAAAATGCAGACAATGGGCACCTCTGGTATGTGATGGGCGAAGATTCCTCTCTGGGACAGTGCAGGCGTGTCAATTACTGATACTAGCCATCAGGGCGACGGGAGGCCCCGGGTCGTCAGCTAGCCCATTTACTGTCTGGTTTCTGTTTATGGTAGAGTCAGGGACAGGCAGCACACCTGTGTTCCCAGGGCATCAAAGGCTGACTGCCTTTTTCTTGCTCTCTGGGGGGGCGAAACAAGATGGGGTTCGTGGAAAACCAAGATGGGGTTTGTGTCTGGCTACAACCCTGCCGAACAGTGCTCTCACTGCAAAAAAGTGACATCCCGAATAAGAAAGGCCAGAGAACTACAATTAAAGATGATTTACGTGGGGAAAAAGACTCATCTAGCTTCAGACCCTGAGCACGTGACCCCTCCCCACCCCCAGGCAACCGTCCCCTGAGGCAGCATCAGAGTTCAGCTAGCACTGTGTCCAGCTCAAAGGACTATAATTCTTGGCTATGAGAGAGAGAAGAAAAAACAATTACAGTAAACTTCCGATAATCCGGCACCTTTAGGACCCAGGGGGTGCCGGATTATCAGATATGCCGGACTATCAGAAGGGGGGGCTATGAGGGGTCTGGAGGGGGGTGGGAGGGGATGCCACCCCAGACCCCTCATTGCCCCCCCTTACAATAGTCTGGCTCTGCCCCAGGCGTCCCTGATTCAGCCGACCTTAAGTGTAAATGTCTTTTCTCAGAAATGGTGTGTCTGATTTAACCAGTGAAGAACACACATGACTTCAATGGGATACATATCTTGCAGTAAGAGAATAGGGCCCAGTATGTTTTTGGATTCTGTTATGCATAGGTGGGCTCTTCACTGCGATTACAGATGTTATTCCTATTGGGCATTATAGGATGCGTCCAGCAACTTCACTTCAAGGAACAGACTTCAAAAAGAGATTAAATGCTGAAGGGTCTGATTTTTATTCACTGAATTTCTGGTATTAATTTTATAAATTCAGGGCCTGATGCTGCACTGGTGTAAATCAGCATAGCACCAATTACTTCAACAGAGTTACACTGCTTGACTGCCGAGAATCTGGTTCACACAGATTTAAAACAGGAGTAATTTCAGTGATGTCAAGAGAAGTATAACAGAGCAAACCATGCTATAAGGTAAATGATCTTTGAAAATTGAAGAGACACGGGATTGTTGGGCATATTATTTCTGAGAAAAGAAATTAAAAGACAAGGACTTTTTGTTGTTGTTGAAGGGTATAATTGTTAGTTCCACTAGCAAAGACTTAAATGTTTTCCTACTGATTCAGAAAGATTTAGTTTTATGACATCTTGGGGCTCTTGCTGACAAAGTATGTAATTATGCAGCATATATTATGTAGGAAAGCAGCTCTGCCCTGGGCTTCCTGGAATCATCCGCTGATCTGTTTCAGCAGCGGCTGAATCGGGGACCCCTGGGGCAGAGCAGCTGGGGTCCTGCCGGGTTGGTCCCGCAGCCCCGAGGGGCAGCGCTACGAGACCAACCCTGCAGCACCCCAGCTGCTCTGCTCCCAGCTTCCCAGATTCAGCTGCTGGTCAGTTTCAGCAGCAGCTGAATGGGGGAAGCCTGTCTGGCTGCCCCAGCACTTCCGGGTTCCTGATGGTGCCGGACCATCAGGAGTCCCGGAGCATTGGATGCCGGACTAATGGAGTTTTACTGTAACTAGCTCAGACATAATTCCCAAACAAGGAAAACAATAAACCTGATGGAGTCCTTAAACTTTTTCCTACTCTCACATTCTGACAAAGCCGGGGGATATGTTTTTGGGGGAGTTCATGTCTTCCCTCTTTGCCTGAAGAAGATTCCCAGTGCCTTGCTCTCTGTTTGAAATTCTTTACCTGCATTTCATTGGCTCAATGCCCAATACCTCCCTACCTCAGGTGCAGAGCTTTAAGGTTAGTGGTAACACTTTCGTTGCTCTCCAGGTAAGTTAGACTCTTTTGCAGCTCCCATTCATGACAGCCCCTGTTTTAATTTTATTATAACTTTACCAAACTTTAACCATCTAAGTTGGCATTTTCCATGTATGCTGTCTTGTCTGGACTAATATAGCCATTTCTAAAAAGAGGCTTTGGAGAATAGTTAATTTTGTGGTGAACTTGAGGATTTCTTTGAGAGCCAAGGTTTAGATTAGGGATGGAAGAGTTTAACCTGTTAACTGATAAGCTAATGCTTATCCCTTAACCTTACTGATTAAATGCCAGGCGGCCACTGGGAGTCCATAGGGCATTTAACTGTGTAACTAACTGAATTTCAATCGGTTACATGGTTAGTGTTTTTGTAAAATGTTTACATCTATCTCTAGTTTAGGTATAGCCCTGTGTATTAATTGATTTCTCTATTCACTTTACCATGGAGGTGAGCAGTAGAATTTGATCTTTAATTTTAGGAATGTTTCTAGCTCATGTTTGTGTGGTGCTAGCATGAGGCCCTGATTCATGACTGTCGTAAATGCAGTACAAATAATAGTGATAATTATCGTTGCAAGAATCTCAGATGCAAACTGGGATAAATGAGTCAGTGCCATCTTCCTGAATCTGAAGAGAACTGCTGTGAGAGACGTGATCTGCTCTATTCCTTTTACTTATGACCTTATAAACCCTGTAGTTATGTAGTTGCATATTGGCATTCTTTCAAGATGCAGAGAAATTCAGCATTTATGCCACAGAATTTACCTTTTTCTGCAGCCAGGTACCTGAAATTTTGTTTTGTGTCCCTGCCAAGTTACACCTCCCTGCAGCTTTCCCTGAGGAGAGGAGTTAATTGGATTACTGGTTGTACTCTCTGTACTTTCCTATGAAGTGAAGGCAGGGAGGTGTTGGAGATGTAGGGAGGAAGAGCTGATGTCTGAAGGGGAGATTAAGGGGGAAGGCAGAAGTGTAGGCTGTTGGGCTAGGAATTATCAAGAGCACAGCAGCAGCCAGAATTGGAGTTAAGCTGCCAAAGCCAGCTACCAGCTTCCCTGTTTCCTGGCACACAGGAAGTTTTGAGGACAATGTCATGGATGCCTTTACATGCAGTGTAGAGTCAATAGACTTGGAGAATTAAAAAGCCACCTTCAGGGCCTATGTTTCTATGTGGAACTCCTTGCCAGAGGATGTTGTGAAGGCCAAGACTATAACAGGGCTCAAAAAAGAGCTAGATAAATTCATGGAGGACATTGTGGAAGATAACG